TCCCCAATGGGAAAGAGCTGAAATATTCCTTCTCAAAATCATCAGCTATTTAAAATTTTACTTTATGTTAAAAAAAAACATAATAACATAATTAAATTATTAAATAAACACATTTCACTTTCAATAAAAAATATTTTCATAATAACATTTATAAATAGACTGTTATGATTTTTGAAAAAAATAATTTATAATATGAAAAATAGTCTAATAAATACTAACAGATAAAATTATAATAATATATACAATAACTAAACATGCATTTAAATCATAGAGAAAATAAGATTCTAATAAAACTAAAATAAGAAATATCACATTATCTTTGACGTCAAAACGTTAAAATATCAAGTTGATGATTTTACTTAATTTTCTTTTTTTGAATATAAAATATAAAATTTATATTTATATTCTAACAAAAATTATGTTAACTTTTGGGAGAGATGAACCCAATTTGAAGGCCTAATCGATACCATTTCCTACCATGATCTTTGGCAAATACACAATCTTAAAATCCCACAAATTTTGAGGCCTTGTTTGTTTGGATTAAATGCAAAGCAAAGTGTCACATTTTTAGTTATCTTTAAAAGACACGTGGTATGCATAACATAACACGATGCATGCTCTTACGTAGTAACACATAACCCCAACCAAACAAATCATGTTTCCCCATTATTGGTAACTTGGTACGTGCAAACCGCATGTGTGGACCGGTTCACACAACATACATTGGAAACTCCACATGATGCGAAACAAGTTCACGAGAAAGAAAGCATTTGCATCATCTTTTGTCCACTTTTGTTTTTCACTTTTTAAGCTTGTGGTTGTTGGTTTCATACAAAACTACGAACCTTGTTCCTTCCACATATTTTGCTTTTTTGGAAATGTACGTGTCTTAAAGGCTTCTAATAGAAGCCAAGAACTCTCAACAATAAAAAATAATAAAAAAATGATATTTTTTTTCTTGAATTATCTACTCTTTTCTTTTTCAGAAAACACTTTCAATTTTCATAAATTGGGTGACAGCTATATAGTTGGGTAAAGTATCACGGAATGAAGAACCCAAATATCAAGTCTAGGGTTCATTCACACTGCTTTTATGAAATTGCGATTCTTTTTATTATGTTGCAGTGAGTGAGGGATGACAAAAGAACACTTTGGCATACGTATATTCGCTTCAACTTTAAATCAAGAGAACCATACGACACAAACAAGGGATAAGTTTCTCCAAATTTCCATGATTGCAACGTCTATTTTATTAATTTTTTTTTTCTGCTGTGAAAATTTAGATAGCTAATTGGAATAGGGTTGGTTCTTGGAATTTGGTATGAGTGTGGGAATATATAGGTGCTATTATCACATCTCATAGATTCCAAAAAAAAAAATCGTTTACTCATAAAAATAATTTTTTATATTGATTAGAGTTATTGATAATTAATTATAATACTGATCTCATGGTGTTGGTTTATAAAAGAAAAGAAAAAAAGTAAAAAGACAAGGAAAAATATGATTTTTTATTTATTTATAAACAAAGTTGAATAACAAAACCTAAACATTTATATAACATCACACGAAGATTATCGAAAAGAATGTGTGAAAAAATGGATATTTTTTATAACTGTATAAAAAATCTCAATGTTATATATATATATATATATATATATATATATAAATAAATTATTTGAGAATCTCATTTTATCCAACATTCAATTTATAACTAATTTTAATAATAATATAATAATAAATTTAAATTTTTTTTATTTTTTTTATATTTATTATATTAATAAATTCAGTTTTATATTTATATATATATATATATATATATATATATATGATGATTTCGTATAATTTAGGAGTTGAATTAAGAATAAGTTATAAATATATATATATATATATATATATATATATCCTGATTTAAAGTCATAATTTATTTTTTTAAAGTATTTGTAATAATATTTAAGAAGTTACTTATTTTAATTGTTAATATTAAAATTATAAAAAAATTATAATATTGTTTTCTAATTACATTTAACATATTTAAAATAAATATTTTTATATTTATTTTATTATTTCAGTGATTATACATGCTGATATAATTTGTAAGAGGAAGGAAAAACTTTATCTTGTTAACTTTTAGTATATAATATTTTTAATTAAAATATGATAATAATTAAGAGGATTTTAGAATAAATATACTACTCAACTAAAAAAGTAGCTCATAAAAAAATATAATTTTAAAAAATCTTTATTTTAAAGTGAGTTTTTCTCATTTAATAAAAATATTTGAATACATAGTAAAAAATAAATAAAAATTAAACCCCTCAAATCATAATTAAAAGTTGCAATTATTTATCGATTATAATGAAGTTTGGTAGACATAAAAGAGTTATATTTCAAAGGGATTACATTTTAAATTAAGTAAAGTTTTAAACCATATAGTTTTTTTTTTATTTTAAGATAAAATTTATATTTTGAAAATTTAAATAATATTAATAAAAATAAATTTTTAAGGCATAATTTATTATTGATCATGATTTTATCTTTAAAAATATTTCTTAAATTAAGAGAAGATGTTGTATAATATTTTAAGTAATATTTATAAATTAATTAACTTTATAATTTTTAACTTTAATCACATGTCATTATAATTAAACGTTGCAATACTTTGTCATACACTCACAATTAATCAAAATTTTAATTTTTATAAGTACGAAAAAAACTAAAACATAAATTATTATTAACTAATTTAATCTTATTTAAAGTTATTATTATTTTTAAAAAATTTATTTATTTATTTTCAACCAGAGGATCACTTTCAATAAATATGATTATTAAGGGTAGTTTGAAGACAAAATTGTGCATACTAGATGAATAAAATTCATTACTTTTACTAAAAACAATTTTTTTGTTAAATCTTTTTCTATTGAAACTTTCTATAAAAAATAGTTGAATTAAAATTAAATAAAAAATTATAAATAAGATGAAATTAATATATATATATATATATATATATATATATATATATATATAAACATTTTATTATTTGTGAGAAAATATCACTCAAACTAAGTTTTGAAATTTTTGTATATTTATTTTGGTTGGAGTGGAACTATAATGGAGAAAGGTTCATATACTGGGCGTGTTCTTGCTTCTCGTATTTCTGTACTTCCATCATTTTTTTCTTATACCTCCTTACTTCAACTTAAATATTTAAAATAAATTTTTCATAATTTTATTTTTTATTTTAATTTTTTAAATATCTAAAATATTATTTTCATAATTTTGTTTTTTTATTTCAATTTTTTTTATTTGTGTATAACTTATGTATCTTTATCCTTTAACACTTCTATCATTTGACTATTTGATTTATTTGTGTGTTAAACTTTTGCTACAAACTTGTTCTAATAATTAAAAGTATAAATAACATGTTTTTGCATTTAAATTGTACAAACATATATAAATTGTTCAATTTGAAATAATATTGCGATAAGATTAAATTCTAAAAAACCAATATATAAATACATTTTAGATTGAATGTTATAAAACGTAGATTTTTGAAACCGATCTAAATATACATCTCAGATTGTTTTTTCTAAAATTGGTGTTTGGAGATGCTTTTCCAACAAAGTTTGTCAAGAAATATTCCGAAAATAAAGATGATGATAAATATAAGGATAAGATGGGGTTTAATAATATTATGGGGTTGTAATAAGCAACAGGCTATTGGGAGGTGGATCAACGTTTTAACTTTCTATACCCATAAATTAGTTTCCACACCTCCCCATTCCTATTACCAATGAAAAAGGAGGTGCAGAAAACCATATTGTAAGGTGCAGAAGCAAAGGTCGCATTTCCAAATGGCCCATATAAATGTATCGGGCTTGAGATCTGGAATTTATATTAATATTATATATATATATATATATATATATATAATTTAATTAATAAAATAAAAACTATATTATTTCATACATCATTTAAAAAAATTAAATATTTATTTTTCATCATGTAAGCATGTCAGCACAAACTTTATTTTATGTCATAAACCTTTTATCTTGTAAATAAGATTAATTATGAATTTCATGTTATTTTTTATATCAAAACAAATATATTTTAAACATTAATAATATTTATATTAAAGAAGACAAATAATAGTTGATATAGATGTTAACATTTTCCATCAACCACTTATTCCATGAATACACCATTCTTATCATGTATGCATACAAGCAACATAATCTCAAAGAACTAAAAATTTTCATATTTTTTTTTATATATTAAAAAAATCCCTGTAATCCTCAACCGTTTGATCATATCTTGTCTTTTTTCCATGGCCCACTTATTTTGTAATATAAGATCTCAACAATGGTAATAAAAAATAAATATCTAAAAGGAGAAGAAGGCAAGGATATAAAAGTAATTTCATATAATATCACCTCACCCTCTCTAACATCACCCGCGTTCACATTTATTTCGTCACAGATTTCATATATGACAACATTTCACCTTCGCTAACCATCAGAGTTGAATCAAAGGCGGCACTTTTATAACCCGTGTGACCGACACGTGAGATTATCACGGATGATAAAATTATATACTTATGTACCAAAAGAACAAACAGGAACCTATTATTGAGGGAGCAGACAGAGAAGAGAGTGTGTATGTGTGTGTTTGTTTGTTTTTTTTTTTTTTTTTTTTCATCTCCAAACCACAGGACCGTTTACTAGGCCATTTTAATACCAAAAATTCCCATTTTACTCCTTCTAGAGAGAGAAAAGATTGAGGTTTCAAGAGAGAGAAAGAGAAAAAAATTGGGTTTTTTTGGTGTTCCAATGGTTGAACTGGAAATCCAGAGAAGGTTGTGAGAGGAGATTAAAAAAAAAAAAGAAACTGGGTTTGATGGGTGTCTTTGAAACTATGATCTTGTGAAAACCCATCAAGGAAACCTTCGATGCGCGCTGGGAGATAGGGATTATTGGGATTTTCTGAGAACCGTTGATTAAGAAATGAACGGTGGTAATGAGGTCGTGGCAGCTCCGGCGGGTCCACCGCAACCTTTGGAGTGGAAATTCTCTCAGGTTTTCGGGGAACGTACGGCGGGGGAGGAAGTTCAGGAAGGTAACTGTTACCTCGTTGGATCAGTTGTTGATGGGTTGAGATTAGGGTTTGGTTTATTGTTTTCGATCTGTTTCGGATCATGTTTCGTTGTTTCCTTGTTGTTTTAGATTGTGGGTCATTGCCTAATCGTTATGTGATTGGAAGAGTGTTTTTTGATTTGGGTTGGGGACGGAAGCAGTGTTGGACGTTAAGTTTTGCATTGCGAAATTTTACTTGCTTGGATTGATATGAGTGTGAGGTGAGTCTTAAAGATGATGGTTTTGACACGTGTTTACGTATAGTTGTGCATGTGTGGTAGCAGTTTTTGATAAGGTGAATTGGTTTGTTTATATTTTTATATGAGATTGGCTGCTAGGTGTTAGATCTTATTGGTGTGTAGTTTGGTGAGTGACATTGGAGCTTGGTTCATCGGGTTGGTAGTGTTTGATAGGTTGGATTATTGCTAGTGATTTTTGGCTGATATTTTTAAGAATGGGCATACAGCGAATTTGTTTGTGTCGCAGAGTTAATAATAACAATATATATTGATAACAAAAAAGCTGAAACAATGTTTTCCTTTTCTGTGATAGTTAGTTAGGTATGTGACCTTATTAGCATAGTAAGTTGGCATTTGGAATTTGGGTTTGGGTATCATTGACACTTAGTTGACACTTAGTTTCATTGAAGTTCATTTCCCCATTCTTCTTTGAACTTGTTTGATCTAACTTTTGGAAAGTTCTGGAAATTTTTGACATCATATCGAACAAGACTGTGGTGGTTCCAGGGTGGAGATTTGGACTTGGACATGATTTCTTTAAGCACCAAAACCTTCTGGTTTTTGAGAATTGATTTAACTCACTGCAAACATGCAGTACTCATCTCAAACTGTAACTAAGATATATTTCATGGTACAAGGGATTAAGAGACTAGGAAGAATAGCAATTTCAACATGGATCTTCTGAACCTGATGGGTTCTTGTCAAGTCTTCCCGTACGGAGTGATTGAAATAACTGGGTTAGCTTTTGTTGCAGGTTAATGTGTATGTTTCCTAATTATTTGCCCATTTTTTTTCCGACAGTGGACATTATTTCTGCTATTGAGTTTGACAAGTCTGGTGATCATCTTGCTACCGGTGATCGTGGTGGGCGAGTAGTTCTCTTTGAGCGGACAGATACGAAAGATGTAAGTCTCATTTTTTCTTCTGCAATTTCTTTCATAACCAAACTTAGGTTGGAAAGATTCCATCTTTCATCCTTAATTTTGTAATATCCATGTATGCTATAACTTTCAGCATCGCGGACCAAGAAGGGATTTGGAGAGGATGGACTATGCTATTAGTAGACATCCTGAGTTCCGTTATAAAACAGAGTTTCAGAGTCATGAGCCTGAGGTGATTTTCCGTCACCAGTTAATTTTCCCTAAAATGCATGTGGAGCAGGATGGTTAACATCTGTAATATGTGATTGTTGTTTCAGTTTGACTATCTTAAGAGCTTGGAAATAGAAGAGAAAATTAACAAAATCAAATGGTGTCAAACGGCCAATGGTGCTTTGTTCCTTCTATCTACAAATGATAAAACCATCAAATATTGGAAGGTATAAAGTGAATGCTCATTTGTGTGACGCTGAATGCTATTTTTTATTCAATTTTATGTATGAATGACACACGTGGTTGCATTTCTGTTGAACTAAGTTGGTTTCTTGTTCCACATGCTTTGACTGTATATTTATGGACACATGTTGTAGTTTGAGACTCATATATCTGTGTGTTTTAATGGAATCTGTTGTGCTTAACTTTTTCAAATTTCAAATTATATTTTTAATCATTGCTTATGGTTGAAGTCACTTTACAAGATGAATTTGTGGATTAAGTTAGACCCTTAACATAAGTGCGCAATTGCATTTGCTTTGGCACGCCCATTTGCCATGTACAGACCAATAGTTGTAGGTGTGAGGGAGAGTAGAGGAATGTCGAAAAACTGCCTTAATTGCAGCCTCTAAGGTTGCATCTAGTCCCACATTAACTAGAGATATGACTTAAATAAAGCTTGAGCAACCTTACCATACAAACTGGTTTTGTGGGTGGGTTAGGCCCTAAGCTCAAATTCTAGGCATAACTATATATTGAACCATTTTTGTGATGCATATATGTCTCAGCTATTCATTTTTAAGTGCATTAATGTCATGACTTACTTTCTGAGCCATGGTTAATTGTAATTACATGGTTGAAACTTTTTAACTCAGTATGTCATTGTAATTTCTCATTGATTAAATGATTTGTACTTTTAATATTTTAAAAGGATACACAAATGGGCAAGATGACCATGGTGTTAATGAATTCCAACGGACCTTAGTATTTGCTTGAGCACATATTCAAAATGAATGTGCTCTGTGATTGGATTCCTTCACTGTTTTTTTCTTATGATTTCACATGATTGATCTGTCTTCTAGGCTGATACGTATTTTTTCCTTATCTGAGAGTTGAACAGGTTCAAGAAAAGAAGGTCAAGAAAATTTCTGAGATGAATGTTGATCCTAAAGCAATGGGAAATGGCTCTATTGTGAGTTCAAGTAGTTCCAGTAGCTCCAGATCGTATCTTGCAAATGGAGTATCTCCAGATGGACCATACAATTATTTAAGCAATGATTTCTCATTTCCACCAGGAGGAATACCTTCACTAAGATTACCATTGGTAGTTGTGTTCAGCCCTTCCAATTTATGTATTTCTTCCCAATATTTGTTTCTTTGGGGATAACAAAATTTTGGTATGGTTTTTTACTGAGAACAACCCAGAAATTGATCAATTAACATGAAAGAGGCTAAGTTTAGCAATGCTTATGATGGAAGAAGGATCTCCCTCCTGTCTCAAACAGATAGTAACAATTTTATATTTATTGTGGGATAGGGTTTTCTCAAGATAGGGATGTAGTCATGATCTTTCCATATATAATGGGATGGGACTGGAGAAAGGGTTATTCTGTTTGCTTCAAGAGGAAGGAAAATAAGAGCATCTTACTTTTGAATCCTTATAGGTTCGTCCTGCTCATAAATATATTTAAGTCATTCTATTTTAAATGGCTTGAAGTTTAAACCCATCTCTCCCCTCCAGATCCCTCAATGTTGGAGGGGAGCCAAAATTGAGTCAAGAGGGTTTTTACTCCCCTCTCACACCACCCATTCCCTCTACTTTCCCCCAACCTAATACTATGTTAGTTTGGGTAGGGTAGTAGAAGGCCCAGTTTATTTTAAATAATATTTTGATTGTTAGAATGTCATCAAAGATGTTATAGAGCAAAGTGTTATGCTTCTAGTTGATATATGAAGAAATCTTTAAGGAGGCAGCAGGAGAATAATCAAACCCCTATACTAAGTTACATATTGTTAGGATTCCAGAATTTATATTTGAAAATATAGGAAACTGTATTTCTTAAAATGAAGGATTATTAGACCAATATTCTAGTACAGGTAAAATCAGGCCAGCTCTTTCTTTCAGAGGAATGAACTATGCATTCTGCCGAGCAGAAATTACTTCACGACCATAAACTGCTGTACTTTTTCCGAACTATCCATCAACTCTCTTGCTCTCTTTATATTAGTCTTCACACAAAACACCTCAATTGTAATCAACTTACATGATCTCTTCTCAGCTGTTAATTGTTCAATCCTTGTTTGTGGATGTGTATTTTAGTATGTAGTGAAACTAGTTCAGTTAGTTTCTAACTCATCGGTTATAAAATATGTAGGTAACCAGCCATGAGACCAGTTTGGTGGCTCGATGCCGTAGAGTATATGCCCACGCACATGATTATCATATTAATTCTATTTCAAATAACAGGTGATTTGAAACCTTGAGGGTTCTATTAGTATCATAGGCCGTTCAGTGTTGAATCTTGCTCTTGGTTATCTTTATTTCTCTTCATTTAGTGATTTGAAAATGTTTACTGCTTTTATTTTCTTAGCTTTGTTTCATGATTTTTTTTTCTTTGCTCCCTGGTTTATTTTTTTCCCATCATGAATTTCTTGAACTCTGATCAAATTGGACTGTGGTATGTTTCAAATATCTGCTAGCGATGGCGAAACTTTCATATCAGCTGATGATTTGCGAATAAACCTTTGGAACCTGGAAATTAGCAATCAAAGTTTTAATATTGTTGATGTAAAGCCTGCAAATATGGAGGATCTGACTGGTAAGTTTTCCCTGTAGTATTTTTATGCTTTGCTGAAAATGTTCATCTGATGCTAACTTGGTATAATTTAAATGTTAAAGAACAAATCTTAGAAACAGTATCTAGTTACTAGTAGGTGTTACTGCTATCTAATCAAATCAAAATATAATACTGGTTACCAAAATGGCAATTTTATTATCTAGATGAAATCAATGGCCTTGTTGAAAAGCAAAAGCAGTTGCCGAGATGAAACATAACTCATAGCTCATTTTGACAGGAAAACAGTACGACCACCATGTAAGTTTTGTCCTCTAAAGAAGTGATAACAACATGAGAGTTGAATTTATATGAGGTTCTTTTATTTGCATGTTAATTGTTCTAGCCTGATCTTTGTGATGTTGAAGGGAAGACTATTAGAATCAGGGTTTTGTGGGAGAATCAAGAGTATATAACAGGTGGACTGAGGTTCATTTGTTGTATATCTTAGTAGGGGATTGACAAGCAATTGGATGGAATTTTTATGGTTGGATTGGTGGCTGTTTGGATTGGGTGAACAATATCTACAGTATTATGATGGGTTTGAGGGTAAATTTTTTATGTTGTTTGGCTTTTTAAAGAGAGTTTTTAATGAAATTTTCCAAAGAAATATGATATTTGCAGTTGTTGCATCTAGGATTTGATTGTGGCAGAATGTCAGGCAGATAGCAATATGTTGTCATACTTGGTAATTCTGATCTTTTATTTAAAACCAAGCATCACACTAGTCTGAATAGACCTTCTATCAATAATCCTGCAAGATTGAGTAAAATCCTAAACCTATGTATGGACTCCATCATTCTAAATGTAGGCTAATATGTCAAAATGGCATGTCTATGAGGATTAGGTGTTTACCTTGATTGAGGTAAACAGCTCCGGAGCTTTAGGCAAGCCTCTCTGGATCGAGCAAGGCATGGTATAGTGCCTATTGTGAACCCCCTCCACAAAAGAAGACCCAGAAATAGAAATTGTTCAATGTGATGCTAAAACTTATTAGAATTTCAAAGAAATAAAAACTTGCTAATCTTGTGGATTGGGTTTCATAAATTGAAGGGGTTTTTGTTTTTATCAATTTTAATTTTTTGTAGTTTTGGTTGAGCCTTGATTCTAGATTCTGTTCTTGCAGAGGTTATAACATCAGCAGAATTTCACCCTACACATTGTAATACACTGGCATATAGCAGTTCAAAGGGATCAATTCGTCTTGTTGACTTGCGGCAGTCAGCATTATGTGATTCTCATGCCAAACTGTAAGCTTATCTTTTACAAATGTTATTGGTTTCCCTTATAGCTTACACTTAACAATGTTGAGGTTATTTGGAAAATTATAGGAAGATAGATGGTTCAATTCGTTCTTTACAGGGGCAACCGAATTTTGTCTATAAAGAAAAGCATTTTTCTTCGGCTTCCTATCCTATAATATGCTTACATATATGTAATTTCTTATCCCCTGTAGACTCACAAAATTGTTTTTGGTACAGATTTGAGGAACAGGAGGCCCCCGGATCCCGATCATTTTTCACAGAGATTATTGCTTCTATCTCCGACATAAAATTTGGGAAGGATGGAAGATATATACTTAGTCGTGATTACATGACCCTAAAGGTTATAGAGATTTATTCTTCCAAAATTCATTTTGTACGGAGTTACTTTAAGTTACTGAATTGAACCTCATAAGAAATGGGTATTTTGGTCTCAATGATAAGATTATTGCTTGGGGTGAAAGAGACATCAAGTTCAATTAATTTTAAGGAAAATTTGATATTTGTTAGTTTCCAATTGTGGTAGTTGTTGATGGCCATGACCCAAAGTTTTTCTGTTTAATTTATGAGTCTTTTGTTCCTGGGACATTCAATTGTTGTTGGGCAGCAGCAGAGCATGCTTTGTCATTCATTCATTGTACTTTGTTCGGATACCCTTTCTTCTTGTTACGATCAAAATCCCTCGTCTCAATTTTTCGTCTTCTTTACTTATATCTCAGTTATGGGACATCAATATGGACTCTGGTCCAGTTGCTACATTCCAGGTTCATGAGTACTTAAGGCCAAAGGTTAGATTTCCTTGTTAAGATAAGCAATGAGCCATGCATTTCTATTTATCAAGTCATATTAACTGACTCTCTTGTTTTTTCTATGCCAGCTTTGTGATTTGTATGAAAATGATTCAATTTTTGATAAGTTTGAGTGTTGTCTAAGTGGTGATGGACTGCGTGTTTCAACTGGCTCTTACAGGTGTGTGATTCAATTTTAATCTATCTGTGGTTGTGATATTACCGAGCCTGCATCTTACTATTTTGTTTCATTTGATACCAGCAATCTATTCCGTGTGTTTGGTTGTGTTCCTGGAAGTTCCGAGGCTACAACTTTGGAAGCCAGTAAAAATCCAATCAGGTAATTTTATACATGAAGCTCTAGAATAATCATGGTTTAATCAGGCACTGTAGCATTTATATGGACTTTTTCATTTCCTCAGGCGTCAAGTTCCAACCCCTTCAAGGCCTTCTAGATCACTGGGAAACAGTATAACAAGAGTTGTAAGACGTGGTCAGTTTTATATTTAACTACTGTGTTTTCATGGTATATCTTGTTCTTCTTGTAGTATATCAACCAATATTTTGGTGATCTTGAACAGGAGCCGAAAGCACTGGAGTTGATGCAAATGGGAATTCTTTTGATTTCACAACAAAGTTGCTTCACTTAGCATGGCACCCAACTGAGAATTCAATTGCTTGTGCTGCTGCAAATAGCTTATACATGTACTATGCCTGAGGAAGAAAGATGATATGAGGACATGTATTTGCTTTGGTTGACCTGTTTTTGGTTGCTGTGGAGAAGGCTTCTTTACCCTTCTTACCAACCATTGAGTTGGAGGCTACATAAACTCACACTACAAGTGCCCTTCAAAATCTTTAGCAGGAGCTTTTAGAAAAAGATCCAGAAGTGGCTGTTTCAAAATTCCTGGGTAGGCAGACCTTATTTTGTTTCTGGATGGGCAGCATAATCTCTTTTTTTCAGTTTTCCTCCTTCCAACCCTAATATTCTTTCCCCCTTTTTTCTGTATCTTCTTATAAAAAGAGAAGGTGCAGTCAATGCTTCATATTGTGTTTGGCTTGCAAATGAAGAAGAAAATGTGATTGTAGCTCTCCTACAACAAATACTAAAGGATGTTCAATATCTGCCACTAGGATAAAAGATAAAATGTAGTTCTTTTCTTTTTACCCAGATGTCTTGTGGGATGGAGCAGTGCAAACCTGCAGTGCATCATTTTTTCATTGATTCTTTGTGTTGGGAATTAATTTGGCACTGTTTCAAACTCTAATTTTTGCTGCACTTGGTCAATTTTTGTGTAAAATTTCAAAAGGAAGTAATAATTTTAGGATGCAATGGTGTAGGATAAACTGGATTGTCTCTGCTACCAAATTTTTATGGTTTTCTCACTTATTGGATTTTTTTCTCATGAGTGCTGTCCAGAATGTAAGGTTATCAAAAAACAATTTCATGATCTGTTTGCCGAGCTTGTTTCTGTTAATTGGTTTGTAAAGTACAATATTTTGGAAAAATATTCAGTGCTTAAACATTCCATTTGCAAAGTGCTATATTAAGTAACCATTCAGATTGGAATAGCCACCTGTTTAGGCAATTAGATGGTCCAATATTTTTCATTATTTTTCAGAATTATTCTTAGTTGTGTTTCATGAATATTGAGTATTGTTCAACCACAGGGCCGTTTGGGCCAACATGACTGAAGTTAGGAGTTTGGCAAAGTGCTCACAATTGTATGACAATTCACAAAAATGCCAACATTTTCCTTCTCTATCTTACATTTATTTCTCTCTTGACTAATAAGGTATAACTTATCAGTATTGTTTCTTCTGATAATTGAGGGTTTATATTTCGTTAGATAAAATTGAGCATATTTAATGAAAATTGTTTACATGCATTTGTTAGTTATTAGTAAAAGTAGTATATTAACATTATCTCATAAAAATGGTTTTTAAAATTAAATAGATTTCTTAATGCAATAAACAAATTTCTTGGTGTGTTTGAAATTTTGTTCGAATAGTCCTTCTAACTTTATATCACTCATAAGAAATCAATACAACATCTTGTTTTAATAGTAATATTAAAGACACTTCAAGGTATTTACTTATTTATTTACTTATTTAACAATTATATAAAAAACGATTTACTATATAAGAACAATTTTTAGGAGAAAAAAAAAACATAATAGGACATAAACCTATTTTAATGGTAATTTTTTTGAGAAAAAATATTACAAAGAATATTTGGTTCTTTGGTTCTTCCTATAAGTAGTTGACAAATGAATATTCAACATCAATTATATATGACATTAAAAAAATCAAATAACTAAATATTGTGACTTTTTTACTAAAATAATATTATTATATTATATATACGTAACTGAACCTCGTATGATGAAATTATTTATTTAACTGAATATCTCAGGAAATTATTTACTTAACTGAATATCTTTTACTTGTTGTACTTGGAAATTGAACATTTTTCTACTTGTTGTACTTGGAATTTGATTTCTGTAAACTGAATTCCAACTTTAAACTTACTACTTTTTTTAAATAAAAAATTAAATAAAATATATAATTAAAAATAATAAAATTAATATTAAAAATAAAATTTTAATTTTAATTTTTAAATAATATTTATATAAAAAATAATAATAATAATATATTATTTAAATATATATTAAATTATTTAAATATATTTAAATAATTATTAAAAATATTAAATAATAATTTTTTATTATATTTTTTATTTTTGATTAGGAAATTTAAAATATATATATATTTTTTATTATATGAATTATTTAAGTTATAATTTTAGAAAAAAATAGAATAAATAACAATTTAATTTAGGTAATATATTAAAAAATTAAATATTATATTATAAAAATTTATGTAATAGTTTTTATTTGAAAATGTATAAATATTATATTAAAAATTTCATGCTAAAATTAATTATTTTTAAATAATAAAGTAAAAATATTATTTAATTAGTTAAAAATTATTAATATAAAATAAACTTAAAAATAAAAAATAATAAAAATTGACAGAATTTAATGTATAATATTAAAAATAACATAATAATTGATAATAAAAATTGAAAAATAAAATTATTGACAATAATGTTCAGAAAATTTTAATCTCAAAAGTGATGTCCAGTTCCACAACGAGAACGACGTCTATTACGTTTTAGATTTCGTCGATTGTCGTTGTTCTTGAATTTCGGGAGAAATTTGTGGAGGATTTTCTTCTTTATAAACTTCTATTATTTTCACTCTATAAAAATCTTTCTACCTTTATTATTTTTCTTTAATATCATGTTCTATAATTTTTATTTTGCTACTAATAACTTATTTTTAATTTTACTTTTAATATTTTATATATATTAAATTTATCAATTTTTTCTAAAATTATAACTTAAATAATTCATATAATAAAAAAAATTATAAATTTTAATAGTGGAATTTTTTTAATAGAAATATAAACTTAAATTTCCTATTCAAAAATAATAAAAATATATAATAAAAAATTATTATTTAATATTTTTAATAATTATTTAAATATATTTAAATAATTTAATATATATTTAGATAATATATTATTTTTATTATTTTTAATTATATATTTTATTTAATTTTTTATTAAAAAAAAAGTGGTAAGTTTTAAATTGGAATTCGGTTTACGAGAAACCAAATTCCAAGTACAACAAGTAGAAGAAACTTAGTTTCCAAATATAACGCTAAAAGAAGTTCAGTTAAGTAATTTCATAATATGATCTTCATATATATATATATATATATATATATATATATATATATATAATATAATAATATTATTTTAGTAAAAAAGTCAAATATTGTTCTCTCAATATATTAAATAATTTGGTAAAAAAATTGAGATAATGACTTCCAATAATTGGAAAAATTATTTAATTATTCAATATAATTTTTTTAATTATTTTTCTTAATTTAAACGAATGGATTACAATATTTTTTACATTTTTCTTGTCTTTATCACATTTTTTATTGCATTTATTTTTTTCCTCTTTAACTTGCTCCCTCAATTATAAAACATGTCTGAGCGGACATATAACATTTCTTCCTGTGAATTAAAAAAAAAAAACTTTTACTTTTTTTTAGGTATTTTCTTGTTCTTCTCAATAAATTATTCAATTTTATGGATATGAATTAGACTATAAAAAAATAAACTTTCTTGTTCATTTACTTTTGTCTTTAATTGTCCCAATTATATCTTTACTTTTATGATTTGATGAGAGAAAAATAGGAAACAGAATAAGGAAAAAAATATATTTATGTTAAATAATTTTATTTCTTATAATCAAATTTGTTTGCTTGTGTATAAATAATAAATAGATTGGGTTGAATAATTAAATTAATAAAACCTTTATTTAAGTAATTTTTTAAAAATACATTATTTATATAATTGATTTTATCAGAAGTTATATATTATATGTTTAAGGTAATCATGCATTGAGGGTTGTTATTTTTGTATTTGTGTCTGACCTTAAAGGATTGAGATGTTCCCTAATGTTTCCATCTGGCTGGCTATCAATCAAAATTATTTGAGGAGGATGGTGGGGGCTTTTAATGCTGAGGGTTGGAAATGGAACGAATGCAAACCCTACCTTGCCACCCACATATGGGGATACTTTTCATAAATTTGTCTGCCTCATGCCTAACTAAACCCTTTTATAAGGATTTTTCTTCTTCAATGTCTCTTTTACTTGATTTTCCTCTACAATGACATAACTTCTTTTTGTTAAATTTGATTTTTATCTCCCCTTTTTTTAGTAAATTATATCATTCAATTCTGACATTTTTTATTTTATTTTGTATGATTGCATAATATTTTTTCACATCTATGAAAATTTTATTTGATATAAATTTTTTTATTAAAATAATATATAAAAAGTGTTGATTTGCAAATAATTTACCACTGGCGAAATTTTTTTAGAAGGACAAAATTTTGTAACTTATATTAGTATTTATGATTTTGATTTTCTTTATTCTTAAATTTTTTTAACTTACATTAGTATTTATGATTTTAACCTTCCTAAACTTAATAATTATATTTATAAATTTGACATTTGACATTTTCATATTTTTTTTGTCTTTTCATATTCATTTATTATTTATTCATAATATATTATTTGACCCCTTTAAGATTAATAATCAAAATTTATCATTGCACATGTCAATTAGAAGTTGAGATTCATAATTATTTATATATATTATTTCTCTTAATTTGCGAGACAATATATTTGATGTGATAATAAATCTTAACGATATTATTGATTTGCAAATTATTTCAATATGCTTATTGTTGAATATAGAAGAAATAGAGTTTGGGATTAATCTCCCTTGTGTATAAATCACACATAGGGTAGTCTATTTATAGTAGAGAGATACAACTAAAAGAGTAACTGAAAATAACGAGAATAAGCAGAAGATATTGTTTGATATTATGGTTAATATCTAACAATATCTTAACAATATTAAATAATATCTAAACAATATCTAACACTCCCCCTCAAGTCTGGAGCATACAAATCGTATGTGTCAAGCTTGTTACAAATATAATCAATTCTAGGACCCCGTAAAGATTTAGTAAAAATATCTACTAACTGATCACTTGAGTTAACAAACTCAGTCTTGATGTCTCCAGACATAATCTTTTCTCGAATGAAATGACAGTTAATCTCAATGTGTT